TCAGATACGGAACCCAAAATCAGTCTGAAATCTACAGGGCTAGGTTTAGGACGAGAGTCCGTGCTAAAGGGGAGAGCCTGCAATAGCTGGCACAGGACTTGGAAAGTATGGTACACAAGGCCTACCTAACTGTACCACCCGATGTCCTCAAGCTGTTGCTGAGGGATCAGTTTGTAGACGCCTTGGACAGTCCACAACTGAAGATACAAGTAAAGCAAGCACACTTCTCTACTATACAAGATGCAATGGCCAGAGCTCTTGAATTTGAATCCTACAATAAGTCCAGCACAGAGGTACCAAGGTTGGTACTGTCATCAGGATTCAAGGGCAGCTTTCAGAGAAGTTTGAGGGACTTTGCTGGTACCGTAATAAACCTTGGCACAAGAGAGCTCAATGCTGGCAACTTCAACACAGGGAAGATGTCATGGCAGGAAAGGCTGCTACCCAGAGAGGTTGTTGGAACTGTGGAGAGCAAGGACATATGAGGAGCCAGTGTAAGAATACTACCAATAAGTCAGCTTCGGGAAACCAGTAGTGGTTGGTGCTGAGGGACGCCCACCAACCCCATCGTGAAAGTTCCAAAAGCTAAGTGTAAAATGGCAAGTACACATAGTGTCTAAGTGACAGGAAAGCTGGATGGCCAAGGTGCAACTTTGTCATAGATTCTGAATCTCAGCAAACCCTTGTGACTATTAAGGTGCTGGATCATAAATGAGTACCAGAAGCTGTACAGAAGCTCTGTGGTGTGACAGGACATTATGCAAGGTTGTGGGGACCAGTGTGTATAACTACTGAGTTCATGAGCATTAAAAACAGACAGAAAGTATACTTGGCTGACATTGAAGACCAATGCATATTAGGATTGGACTATTTCCTACCGAGGAAGTGTGTAGTTAACTCCGATAAAATAACGATTGGAAACAACAAAGGCCAAATTTCAGTAAATGTTGCTGCATCCGTTGATTTGCATGCCACAGCACTTAAGTCAACTACAATACCCCCTACGTCAGAGAAGATAATTTGGGGTAGGATAAAAGAACATCCCCAAGGAAGCCCAATGCTTGTGGAAGCAGTGGAAAACCCATCCAGGCCAGCGGATTTGAAGATTGGAAGGTCACTTGTGGCTGGTCATCAAGTAGTACCTATAACAGTGGCCAATTTCTCTAAATGTGAGCAGACACTTAAGGAAGGGGCATTGTTGGGTATGTGCCAGGAGGTAGAGCCAGTCAATGTTAAAGCAAGAAATACAACTGTAAAGAAAGGACACACACTTCCAGAACATTTAACTGACCTCTATAAGAAGAGCATAGTCCATTTGTCATCATCACAGACTCTAAAGGTAAAAGAACTTTTGGCAAAATATGATGACGTTTTTTCGAAAGGAGATCATGCCCTCGGCTGCACAAACCTGAAAGAGCACAGAATAAACACAGGCAATC